TTAGAAGAATTATTATTTTTGTGTTGTGTGTGTTTGTTTCTGTCCTCCTGCCTGAGTGTTTGTATGTATGTGGGGCTGTGTGTGGGCCTGTTGACCTCAGAGTCAACATAGGGGCTTTTCTTCTTCAAATGCCATCTACCTTTCTTTTAAAAATCCTTAAGTATCTATTTATTTTATGTATGTGTGTATATGTATGCACGAGTGTGTATGCGCTCATGAGCGGGCGCACAGGGGCTTGAGCACATCTGTGAAGGTCAGAGGTCACTGAGGGAGTCAGGGTGCTCCTCCTACCACATGGTTCCCAATATCAAATCCTGGGTGTCAGGCTTGGTCACAGGCACCTTTACCCACTGAGCATTCTTGCCAGCTCTAGAGCAGGCGATTCTGCTCCCCCTTTTACAGGTTCCTTCCTGAAACTAAATGTCACAGAAGCATGAAAACCCCTTGGCAACATCCCAGAAGAAGAGCACACTGTAAAGAGTTGTTCGGCCCACACTCAGTGGCCCCCTGATGAGCCCTCTGATTCTGGGTACCGTTAGCTCAGCATCCCTTCTTCTCTTCTTTTAAGTCTTTTTTGTATGAATCAGGAAGTTGCGGGTTGGCTAGACTCAGCAGAGAGCGAGTCCCGGAAGCACTAGGAATACAGACGTATGTTGCCATGCCCTAGGTTAAGAGCACTGGGGTCCGAACTCAGGTGGTTATGCTTTCATTGCAACCATGGTACCAACTGACCCATCTCCCCAGGCTTGAAAGAACTATTTTATAAAGGCATAATGGAAAAAAAGGTTAAAATAATTACAGTTCCCAAGAAAGAAAATCAAGGTTTCTAACGGATACAGAAAGTGGAGGTTAGGGGCCAAGGAAGCTGATAGCTTGTAGTCAGGGCCAGGATACTGAGAGACCAAACAGTAAAAATTTCAGGTCAGCACAAGGAACAGTCAGAAATAATAATTCTGACAAATTCTATCTCCTAGCTCATGTGTGTCTCTGCAAATGTGTGCATGCACGTGCACTCTGCTCAGGGAGGAGCACCATTGTGGTCATGATTATTAAATGCTATCCTTCAGTCACACACAGTGTAAGTACAGGCTATAGACCCCAGACCTTCTAAATCATTTTATGAGTTATATTTTCCAGTGACAGCTTTATAAAAAGCCACCTTGAAATTTTTTGTAGCTTTTCTCCAAATTATATGTTAAAATTAGCTGTTTACTGTAGTTTCTACAAACAATTTCTCAGACCACGCTGTGAACAGTCTTGCTGGTTTTCTCCCTCGATGTCTCCTTCCCTCTCCTCCTTTTTCTTGTGGAGACAAGGCTCATTCCTTCTGCCTCACCTTACCAAGTGCTTGCATTATTTATTTCTCTTTTGGCGGAAGTTACTTCCTCAATGTCCCTAAATTCAAGCACTAAATTTCGTCCCTAGCTTGGGTTATTCCTTACAGTAGCTAAATTCAACTCTTATCCCAAACTTTCCAATAAACAAAGATTTAGCTACAACAGAAAAAAAATTTGATTGAAAGATCTTCTCACGCAGAAACAGTTGTAAAATCTCAGTAGAACCTTTCTCTGCTAGGTCAGCTGACACTGAGGGACTGGATGCTGGCAGTCAGTGTTTCTCAGCAACAGAGGGATGTGTTTTGTAATCCTGATGGAACCACACATCAGCTTCCATGCCTGTCTAGTGGAGCAAGCTCCCACTAGACCCCTAAGAAGGATGCAGCTCTCTCTGCCTATCCAGCCCTCCCTTATGCAGATTCGGAGCATTCATCCTGGCTCTTTGCTCATCTTCCACTCATTTTGGGAATAGACCAACTCACAAGCATAAATTTAAGGGCCACACAGTTTCCCAAAATGCTGGAAAGGCGTGGGGCTTCAGTCACAAGCAGTGGATTTCTCAGTTTCATCCAGCCGCAGGGCACCCCGACCCCTGCTCACCGCCAGCCCTTCAGAGCTCTCTCCCTGGATCACTTAGTTGTTCTGTTTTCTGGGAACTCTTCTGGGAGACAATGGGGAAACAAAGAGCAATGGATCCAGTCCACTTTCTGGTGCTGAGAAAACCCCTCCCCTGGCGAGAACTCAAGCCTGGGGGTAAGGTGGGGGAGGGGTGAGAGGAAGAAGAAAGAAACAAATTGTTCAACCAGCTACTGGGTTGGAGGAAATTACTTAAGACATTGGCAGAAACGGACAAATCTTTATCACACAGGCTCCACATGAGTGTTTCCTTTTGCTGCCGACTCAGGCCATTTTTTTAAAGGTGGATCTCCTGATTTGTTTTGTGCGTCTCCAGGGTGTATACTTAGCAAACTGGCCTCATCCCAGCAAAGGTAGCACTATCACCAGGAAAATCTATGAAGCGGACTGGACAAACAAAGTAACAAAGCGATAGTCATCTCTCTAGGAAGAGGACTTCTCACTGAGTTCCTCCGTTGGCGTTGAACACTTTGACCAGTGATGTTAATCTTTGGGATGCGTCCACACTAGGGATGACATCAATAATCCCAAGCAGACAACAGTGTTTCTACTGTTGGTGGAAATTCGCCCAAATCCACTTATGCCTACTGTTACATAGAAAGTATGTGTCTGAGGAGTTAGGACTAAGTGGATAAAAGTGTGTGATACTCTTGCAGAGGGTCTGAGTTCAATTCCAAGCACCCACATCAGGCAGGCCACAGCACCTGTAACTCCAGCTCCAAGTCATCCCTGGACTCTGACATCTTCAGGCACAGCAAGTGTGTTCATGAAATTAATATAAAACTAGAAAAGAGAAAGTGTGTCTGATATTGGCTTATTGGGGCTCATGATTATGAAGAGCTGATAAAACTGGAAAGTATAAATTAGATATTAAAAGATCATTTATTTGTATATCTAATAACAAGTCTGGAAAGTCTAAAGAAAAACAAGTCACAAATGTAATAAATAAAATCATGAAGCTACCTGAACATGGTGACATGCTCCTGTAATCCCATAGCCTAGGAACTCAGGATTCAGGAACTCCCATAATCCCACTGCCTAGGAGGTCAGGATCAGGAATTCCCATGATCCCATTACCTAGGAGGTCAGAATCAGGAATTCCCATGATCCCATTACCTAGAAGGTCGGGATCAGGAATTCCTATGGTCTCATTGCTTAGGAGGTTAGGATCAAGATCTTCCATGACCTCACTGCCTAGGAAGTCAGGATCAGGAACTCAAGGCAACAACAACAAATCAGGAAATTAAATCCAATTCACAAGAACCAGGAACAAGTCTTAAAATCTCGAAGTTAACATTTTTCTTAGAGCTAATTATTGATGCCATCAAGAGAATAAAGTAAAAATGATTTTGGTGACTTGAATGTTATTACACACAAGACCCAATTATTCACGAATCAATCTTAAGTCAGCAAAGGCAGTGTGACCTTCCACTGCTGGCCGATGGGCAACCTTAAGCAGACAGGACTAGGTGAACAAGTTTGCAACCCCTCTTTCCCTTACTTTCTTTTGAGAAGTTGTCTTTGGGGACATATACGACGATAAGGACACCAGAAGACATTTGCTCAAGCTCCTATGTTCTCTCAATGAAATGGAAAAAATCCAGAGAATGCTTGGGATAAATTAAACTGCATGGCTAAGAAATAGCAAAGAAAGCAGCTGGAGGGGAGTGGCTATAGTTAAAAAGAGAAGGGACGGTGGAAACTTGACGGACCAACGGTCATTCTGAAGCTTATTTAAATACACAGAAAAGCTGAGTATTTAAGAACAGAAGGGAGCAGTCCTCGGCTTTTGTTTCCTCCCAAGCTTTCCCTTCTACCCTGGTGAACTATCCCCTTGCATTTTCCTATTTTCAAACAATGACAAGAAATGCTGGGGACTGTTGACTGTGCAGCTGCTGGGCTCCTTATTGTTCTTTGTCCACTTAGGACGGCAGTGGACTGGAGGGGCCAGCTGCCATGATGTGACGACAAGACCCGACTGGAGTTGGTGTGACACAAGACGTGTTTTTCCTCACCAAGGGGAAGCAAGTCAAGGTTTTGCTACCTCACTGTTTGAAAAACGACCTGTCTCTCGTCCAAGGATTGAGCGGAGCTGCTGCAGGATTGACCGCGTGTGGACGAGTTGTGGCTGTTTGTTCAGAAGATGCGGAGCGAGGGATGGGATTGCTATCAGAGGGAGTGAGAGAAACTGACTTGTGGGTCCAATGAATGGGGAGGGGGTGGATGTAATTCCGTTTTGCTGTGTGTTAATGACTGAAATGTGTTTAGTAAAGCGTAGCAAGCCCTGTTCACTGGAGGAAGGACAACAAACATGGATTTTCTTGAAATAGTAGGGGAAAAAGTACTGAAAACTCCCCCATAAACTTCTAGGTTGATTTATTGTCAAGATCATGGAAATGGAACAATCCAGAAACCACTTGTAACCTTTCTCCTTCCCAGTGTGGGACTCCCGACACAGCATCCAGACTCCACTGTAGCGGTTCCCTTCCAGTGTGGGACTCCCGACACAGCATCCAGACTCCACTGTAGCCTTTCCCCTTCCAGTGTGGGACTCCCGACACAGCATCCAGACTCCACTGTAGCGGTTCCCTTCCAGTGTGGGACTCACGACACAGCTGGCAGGACCAAAGCCCGCCTGACATGTGGGACTGCTGAGGAGATTCCAAAACGCCAGTGTTCTCATCTGCTCCAAAAGTGTCTCTTCCGTTAAATACTTCCTTGACATTGTTACCAAGCAAAAAGCAGATGGATGGGTGTCTAGGTGTGTACCTTATCCCTCACCAGTTATCCTGGAACACTTGCTAAGAGAAAGCCACACAATCAAGGCTAGTTGCAGGGTAGTCTCAATTCTTGCCTTGAAAGGAAAAATAGATTCAGTGGGAGGGGAGAGGAGTACTCTAAAAACAAAAACAAACAAACAAAACAAAAACAAACAAAAACTTCTTTGCATGGTTTTTATGCAGGATGAAGCATTCGTTTTCCTGAGGCCATTCATTACTCTTTCTCCCCGGTGCTGGGGATAGCGACCAAAGCCTCGTTCATTGTGAGGCAAGTTCTAACCATTGGGCTTCACTCCCAGTCCCCATTACTCTTCGTGAGTGCAAACTTTCAGATTCTATTTACTCCAGTTTTAGAAGAAGAAGAAGAAAGGTTCCTCACGAACATGTGCTCCTGGAAACGAAATCAGAGGCTTATAGGGTGCAGTGAAGAGAAAAGCGGTCCCGAGCTCGGGGTTCCTTTCAGATCAGCACTGGCCAAGTACGAGCGTTACGTCCGGAGGAGACAGTTTCCCTCCTGTGTGCTATCAGGTATGGGCTCCACCCTGACACTCCCCATGAATGGTTCAGTTTAAGGGACTACAAAGGGGAAAATGGACAAAAGCCTTTACTTTGTCTTCTCAGCTGGAGCTCACTAGGTACACACAGTGGAAATTCCCCCCGGAGGGAAGGAATTCAGGAAAGTCAGCTGCATAAGTGAGGTCCATGAAGGTGCTGAAGCAGTTCTCTCTCTCTCTCTCTCTCTCTCTCTCTCTCTCTGTCTCTGTCTCTCTGTCTCTCTCTCTGTCTGTCTCTGTCTGTCTCTGTCTCTGTCTCTCTCTGTCTTTCTTTGTGTGTGTGTGTGTACACTCATACCTGTGTGCCTCCATTCTATAAGCGGAATCTTACAGCATTGTTCGTCAGCTCCTATTTTATTCTGCCTAAGCCCAAGAAAGTAAAGAGGCACTGGAGAACTCTGAAAGAGTGCCTGTGCACTGCGGGGTAAAGACTGCAGGTCAAGTTTACATTCAGCAGTTTCTAAGGTCTTCTGGCACAGTGCTCTGTCAAGCAGATTTCGAAGCGATACCTAGATTCATATTGGTATGAGGTATAAATGTTAACTAGCTTAACTGATTGCACAGTCAGGAATCTCCTTTGTGGTTTGCTGAGCCACTGTTGAGGAAATTCTTACCATTTTGAGGAATAAAGAGGAATGAAAGTTGACTAGAAGCCTTAGGGAAGCATCCTTCTTACTGAAGATGCTGGGTAGGATCGTGTAGTGTGACTGCAGGGAAACCTGTTGGTGCCGTTTAAATTTCTCCTCCATCTTCCAAGCCACTTAAATGTCCTCTCTTCTTACTCCTAGCACTAATTTAAGATAGAGTTGTGGGGATTCCCAGCACACTAATTACCAGACTTGTTTCTTTGAGTTGGTTTTGATTCTTTAAAGAATGGTAGTATGTCTGTAAGAGTTCCTTACCTTGTAATCCTTCCACCTCCTTCCCATACAGTAGGAATACATTCCCCAACTATTTAAAACTCTACAATAAGAATCTCGTGATAGTTGTATCTTTCAAAAGCAGGTAAATTGGAAAATAATCTGAACAAAGCTGTGAAAGTTCTATGCTTAGAAAAATCACTTAACATCAATTTGTTATTGTTATTTAAAGAACAATAAAAAAGTTTAGGATCGAACAACTATTTAGATCATGCCAATTTCATCATGATAAATCATTACTAAAATTTTCATGTATGCAAAATCAAATGCAGAGACGTTGTGCAACACACTGATGTTAGAAAGCAAACTCAGCATAATGTAAAGTTTAGGAAGAAAACAAATTTTATCCAGAAAATCAGCTTGCCCTAGTGGATTCTGATGAGTAACTTAATAAAGAATCCAAAGACGTTTAAAAGACTGTTCCTTTTGTTCAGCTCCCTTCTTTAAGGAAGAATCAACAAATAAAGACTGTATGTACTTGGGGTCACTGATGTGATGTTTGGATACTCCTTAGCACCATGGAAGCACTCAATTGTCTATTGGTGTCCTGCCTAAGATGATGCTTTGAATTATGTGCCAGGAAATTTATAGAGGTACATTTTCTTGGGTCATTTACTGGATCTTTAGTTTGTTCCTTTAGTAATGTCACATTTCACTCATGGTCTTGAGGTATTCACACATGTGTTGATGCAGTCTAGGCTTTCTTAATGGGTTGGCTTTGGAAGGGAAAAGCCAACTTCTTCTCTGAGTCTAATGAGAATCCAGCAGTTCAAATGCCAGTGCTAGTGGCAAACTTGCTTCCAGGCTTCTTCATCTGTTTAACCAGCTGTCTGGGCCAGTGTATAGACCTGTTCTAGGATCCGAATCGAAACCTGGGTCTGCCAGGGTGGTATGGTGATGCAGTGGGCCCGGAACAAGATGCCAGTTACAATCAATATTGCTGCTAGTTTGTCTTAAATGACAGAATGGTGTGAATCAAGTGCTAGACAAGTAGTAACACTCATTAAAGAAACAGTGTCACAAAGCTGAGACAGCATCAGGTAAGGGCATACATGATAGACAAGCAGCAAGAGGAGTTCAAAGGTATCTGAGGTCAAGCAAATACAAACAGCCTAAAAACCTATGACTTCAAAACAGGAAAACTTGTTGATTTTTATCTAATATCTTAAACTTTCCAGAGTGCTCTCAGTGAGGCCTCTGACAAACTTCTGTGATGCCGAGGACAACTGGAACGTGATCACTGCTGGACTCTCCATTTCTTCACTGCGTCCGGCCTAGGACTTGCCAGTGGATGAATGGAAAAAAGTGATTTGGTCAAAATCATCAAGGTAGAGAAATTTGATTCCAATGTGGCTTTGTTACTGCAAATCCTTTATTTCTTTTATAAGCTTTGCTTCCATCAAATATGGAAGACCCACTTCTCCCTTTTCTGATCTCTAAGCCAAAAACAATAAATAAAATAATAGTACTAATAATTTTTCCATACTTCATTTATCTTTCATTAGTAGGAGGAATAGTAGACTGTGCATCTGAAAGTCAAAGTTTCAAGTGCTTCTGCATCAAGAAATAATAAAGGATAATATATGACTCTTCAAACCAAGTAGGTATGGGCAATCTCTTTCTATAATGGGACAAATAGTACATATTCTCAGCTTTTTACTCCATGTGATCTAATTCCCCAGTCCTGCCATTTAACACAAACCCCACAAGATTATGAGTTAACATGAATGGTTGTGTCTGTGCTAGTACAGTTGCAGGAGATGGTGTGAACTGGGCTGACATGGTTACAGGAGATGGTGTGAACGAGGCTGGTACAGTTGCAGGAGATGATGTGAATGAGTGAAAACATCCATGGCTCACTCTATTTCTACAACATGATTACTTAAAATCTATTTGGGATTATCAGTGTCCAATCAGTCTAGTAGAATTGCAGGATATAAAAAAAAAGACTAACAAAAGAAAGTTTTCTGCCTGAAAACACAAACTATATATTTAGTTTAAAAATACATTTTTGCTTTGAAAACTGTTGGGTCTGTTCTGGTATATCCATCAGAGATATGAACAAATCTCAAATGCTTCTCTATGCTCTGGGAGAAACTTAGACATCATAAACCTAGTTACCATAGAGAAACAAGAGAGAAAATTAGTAGAAAACAATGTAGATATGTTGGAGAAGGGCCCGCTGCTTGTTCATCCTGGCTGCCTGGCTAATTTAACCCTGAAATAAACACACAGAAATTGTATTAATTAAATCACTGCTTGGCCCATTCGTTCTAGCCTCTTATTGGCTAACTCTCACATCATGATTTAACCCATTTCTATTAATCTGTATGTCACCACGAGGTCATGGCCTACCAGAAAAGTCTCAGCATGTCTATCGTTGGTGGCAGGTCCATGACATCTCCCTGACTCTGCTTTCTTCCTCCCAGAATTCAGTTCTGTCTTCTGCACCTTCTTAAGTTCTTGCCCTATCAAGCCAAGGCAGAGTCTTTATTCATTAACCAATAAAAGCAACAGAAGGACAGAAGGAACTCCTATACCATTTCCCCTTTTCTGTTTAAACAAAAAAGGAAGGCTTTAACTTTAACATAGTAAAATTACATACAACAAAACAGTTATCAAACAAGAACTACAGTTAAAATATTTATATATTTATATCTACTTTACCTTTTACCATATTTCATCAGCAGTAAAAGGCATTATCTCTGCTGGGTCTATACCTACTAATTGATGAAGTCTCAATTTACCTTTTATAATTAATTCAGAGACTTTTCCCATATAAGTTTTTAATTTTTTAACTTGGTTTATGTGGTAAAAAGATCCATTCTAATATGATATCATCCCTCTGCATCAAAATTCCTGTAGGAGAAATTCTGGAAGGCACTATGACTAGCATACAAATAAGATTTGGATTCACCCTATCCACATGTGCCTCCTGTAATTTCTCCTCAACAAACATCAATTCCTTTTCTGCTTCAGCTGTTAATTCTCTGGGACTATTCAAGTCTTTATCACCATCTAAGGTTTTGTTTAAATGAATTATTAGATCAGGTGTTATCCCAACAGCTGGTCACAGACTGGAAATGTCTCCCAATAATCTTTGAAAGTCATTAAGAGTCTGCAACCCATCTCTCCTAATTTGTGCATTTTGTGTTATAATTTTCTGCAAGCCTATTCTGTAACCTAGGTAATTAACAGAATATCCTCTTTGAATCTTTTCAGGAACAATTTGTAATCCCCATTTAGGCATGAATTTCTTTACTTCTTTAAACATTTTTTTCTAAAGTATCTGTATTTGAATCAGATAACAAATTATCATCCTTGTAATGGTAGATTATAGACTTAGGATATCGCTTACGTATTATTTTCAATGGTTGGCTGACAAAGTATTGGCACAGGGTTGGGCTATTGAGCATTTCCTGTGCGAGGATAGTCCATTTATATTTTCTAGTAGGCTGAGAATTATTATAAGTAGGTGTTGTGAAAGCAAACTTTTCTCTATCCTTTCCTTGTAAAGGTATAATAATGAAACAATTCTTTAAATCAATAACTATAAGAGGCCATCCCTTTGTTTACAGAGAAGGCAGAGTAATTCCAGATTATAGAGGCCCCATAGGTTGATAGTCCCTAAATCTGTCACCATTCTCCACATTCCAGATTTCTTTTTAACAACAAATACAGGAGAATTCCAAGGGCTGGTAGATTCTCCCATATGTCAAGTGTCTAGTTGCTCTGCCTACCGGTTTCTTCATTACCTGCCACTTGGTTCCTAAACCAATGTCACACATTTCAGTTTAGGGCAGAACTTTTTTTAATATATAACAACTTTTAAAATTATTTCTACATTTTATTTATATGTATTTGTCTGTCTTAGAGTTTCCTTTGCATATAAAACATCATGATCAAAAACAACTTGG